GAACCAGTTTGAACCTGTGTTTGATATAAGTCTTGTATCCTGCTTCCAACAGTCATCAAAAACAGATGCTTTGGAAAACTGAAATCTCTACTAGCAATAACAACAGGATGAAAGTCTTTCTATCCTTATCATGTATACCTTTAAGCACAAAGGTTTTTATTTATCATACACTTTTTTTTAATGCTCTGATACATTTTCACTATGCATGTAAATGCCTAACCCTCTTCAGTGCTGTACAGCCCACAGCCCTTGCCAAGGCACCAGCATGGAGAAATAGATGTTTCTGTGCAAAGGTAAGCTGTTAAAGAGAAGAGGGAAGGTATGAGCTGCATTTGAAAATGGAATAAAAAAAAGTTGAATGAGAGTGCAGCAGTAAGAATGGGATGCTTTGAGAGTGCTTGCCTCCAGTTTGACCACTGCAGCCAATACAGGCCATCAGCAAGTGGGCTGTAGGAACAGGTGAGGCTGCAGCTCCCCAAGCTCCAAGTATGCAGGGGGGTCTAAAAAGAGATAGAGTGGGTGAGGCAAATCATAAAGAACAGAGTTGTGATCTCACATTGATACACGTGCAACATGTAGGATCACAAGCTCATTTCCTTCCCTAACCATTTCTACTTCTGTTAACTGCCATAACTATGCAGAAGTGTTCTGGTGCATCTGTTCTGTTTCTTTTCAATCTTACTCTTTTACCCTTGCCTCTCACTCAGAATTGATGAAGACAGTATGTCCATTTTCACCATAAAGAGCAACCAATTAGAAAAAAGACAATGTGAGGGTAGTACTAATAGATGCTTGAATGAACCAAAGTCCAGATATATTTGTTTGCTCAATAACTTTTTTTATGTTAATTAGGAAAATAGGGGAAACACTAAAATAGTAGCTAATTTTCAAATTGGATCTATTTTGCTTCCAATTTGCAAGATTAAAAAATGTTTACATCAAGTTGTTACTTGCAATCCAAAAACATTATATATTACATATATTATTATATATTATAAATGCCATTAATGTTTCAATGTGTTGTGTAAAGGTGGGAGCAGTCCTATGAATGCATGAAAATTTTAGATACTTTTCTTCTGCAGTGTTTAATACTCAAAACACATAGACTAATCAGATGATGCCAATAGGCTGAATGCTGGATTATATCACCAGCTCACTGGGATGTAATTAATATGTGTTGCTAGGTAGGTAAACAAGACTGGGTTATGCCTGGCTGCTTGAGGGAAATAATATCTGTGCCTGGCTGGCTTTATTCAGTGACAGAAGAGCAAGGAGAAGCATTGTACAACCCTGCCCACGTACTGCACAGTCTCACCTGATGGTTCATCCAGTCCCTGTACAGTCCTGGGAATTTAGGCTTCCCAATCCCCAAAATTTCTTACTCCTAAACTTAGATGGCTCCTCCCTCAATAATCTGGGGTTCTTGTGAACTCATGTTGGCCACCAAGATGACCAAAGTATTTGACTGCTTGTAGGGTTTCATTTTGAGTCCTGGCACTTCTTCTGGGAGTCAGCTAGGAAAAAGTTAAACAGAGCAATGGCAAAGCCTATTTGTGCATCCGGACCTATGCTCATACATGCATTTGAGGTGGCTCAAAGCATCTCTGAATTGTAGACACGGGTTAATTTTGTGTAGCCATGACAGACCCATGACTGCCTCTGTAATGGATAACTGGGGAGAGACAGAACCTGGAAAGTAGAATGGAGAAAGATTCAGAAAGCTGAGATTTATGGTGGTGTGGTGGGTCCTGTAGACATTGCTCTGTTCTTTGCTGGCTGACAGTAGTGGGAGCAGCAAGGCAGAGCTACACCTGAAATAATTTATTTGCCTTTCTTCCTTTCTTCCAATTTGTTGCCATAAGCAACTGGGTATTTTGTCCACATCTAGCAGCAAACCTAAAGTCACTACTAAAACTCTAAGCAGACCTATGAAAATAACCAACCAATGAATAATTCATTACATGCTGGAAGTATTTTAATTGATTTCATGATATGCCATTTAGTATTAAGTGAAGTGTATCTCCTGCAAAGAAGTCCATTTTCCTTTGTTAATATTTTTTTAGCTTTTGTGCAAAATGACTGTACTTTCTTCTTTTCAATCTTCACAAAATAAAAAGCTCTTGCTTTTATCTTCCATATAGATCTAGGAAGAGGTCTTTTTTATCAATTAAAAACAGTAAGTTTGCACTGTCACAAACACGAGCTCTTTACCTGGTTAAGTTTAAGCATTTCTGATGTTATTTGATGGTCTGCTTAGACTGGTGAGAGTCTGTGGGTTGTGTCTGCAGTACTGACATGCAGCATTTTGGGGGGTCCCTGGATATACTCACATGCAAGAACAGAGATCTTGGAAGTACAGAAGCCCACGGGGAGTCTTTTTGGGCACAGCAGGTGCCATGTTTGCTGCTTGCTGTCCTAATGTTACAAACTCCAATAACTCTCTGTGGCTGAGTATCTGGGATCCTGAAATTCAAAGATACATTTTTTCACCTTGCTGCTCTATTTTTGGAAGACAACTACACATGTGATAGCCAGCACCTATCAAGCACCTAACTGCTGAGCAGCATCTGCAGCATGAATTTAAAGCTCTGGGAATATGTCTCATAATTTCAGAAAAGTAAAGCTACCTCAGAAATCCACAGTGCAGGACAGGTGCTTAACTTTCACTTCTGGTGAACTTATCTACTTGTGGTATAAAAAAAAGTTGAATTTTCATAAAATGCAAAGCACAATCCAGTGCTGTCATTTGACCTTGTAATGGTCAAACCTGGATAATAATCTCAGGATATCAGCTGCACTATGCTTAAAGTAATTCTTCACACATGCTATGAAGTACAGAACAGCAACCACTCTGCAGCTATAGTCCCCCTTTCAGGAAGAATGCCTAGCAGGGTAACTTGCTGGGAGAAATTCTTATTGCCTCTTTAATTGACAATATGAAATGCAAGAAGAGTCAGGATCCAGGCTTCCTGTAGTCCATTTGTCTCAATGAAGTGAGGAAAATTGTAAAGGAAAGAAAACAGTGAAATCTACAGCTTCTCGAACACAGTGATTCAATACAGCCATTTAGTCATTGACATACTGCTCTTCATTTTCTCTTACACATTATTATAAAGGGAAAAAAAAATCATTCATAGTCACTGGATTAACTTCTCTCCAGCCTATGGGACAACTTCACAATTGCTTTTTGTAATTGAAAACTATTGGGTATTGTGCCTTTGTTTTGAGATTTCCTTTCTCTCCTATGCATTATAACTGAATGAAGGTTTACTCCTAAAGGTCATTTCAAAGTGTAGTGACATGATAGAAACATTCTCCCTCTAAACTACAGTGACAGGCTTGACACTGGGAAGTCATACTTGGCCAAGTCTAAACTACAGACTCCATTTCATGCATTTGAATCACAAGTTCCTGTGGCAACTCATAAGCTGTAAAGGACCAAGTGCAGTGGGACAAAGGGCATCCCCAGGCTGGTGGTCAGTACACTGAGTTTGACAGCTGGAAGGACATTTATCTTTCTTCTGCTTGGCCAGTGAGTGAGATCTTTTACTTGACATGTCACCTGCAATACACAACAGAGCAAAATATGATGTCATCTCAAATCAAAAATGGAAAAAACTAATCCAGATCAAACCTTAAATCAAATAGGGTGGTAGCAACAGGTTCCTCACATTAAACTGCTTTCAAGAGTGCAAAGATAATTACGACTGATGTACCCTATTCTTATGTTGTAATGTGGTGTTTGGCAGCACTGCCAAACCAAGCACTCAGAAATTCTGGATCTCATTCACAAAGCTTGATATGACCCTGGAAATCGCAACAGTTCAAATACTTAACACAAGTTGCTCTTTATTTATTTTCCTGGGTATAAATCATTACCATTCAATTCCAGGCTTTCTAGCATGGAGCTTGTAGAAATACAAAAGGCTTTGGGAAAAACAGCAAGTGCTGTGAGTGCCCACCAGCCACAGTGCTGGGATTGCCCCTGGGTTACCTCAGCAATCTCTGCAGCAGCAAATTTTGTTCATAGAACCTCATTTTAAGTTCTGGAGTTTCCTCTGGGAGTCAGCTAGGAAAAAGTTAAACAGAGCAATGGCAAAGCCTATTTGTGCATCCGGACCTATGCTCATACATGCATTTGAGGTGGCTCAAAGCATCTCTGAATTGTAGACACGGGTTAATTTTGTGTAGCCATGACAGACCCATGACTGCCTCTGTAATGGATAACTGGGGAGAGACAGAACCTGGAAAGTAGAATGGAGAAAGATTCAGAAAGCTGAGATTTATGGTGGTGTGGTGGGTCCTGTAGACATTGCTCTGTTCTTTGCTGGCTGACAGTAGTGGGAGCAGCAAGGCAGAGCTACACCTGAAATAATTTATTTGCCTTTCTTCCTTTCTTCCAATTTGTTGCCATAAGCAACTGGGTATTTTGTCCACATCTAGCAGCAAACCTAAAGTCACTGCTAAAGCTCTAAGCAGACCTATGAAAACAACTTGGGCGGCTGAGTGTTTATGGCGTGAGAAGGAAACATGGGGAGCAGGTAGAACGCGCATCGATGCTGCCGAGGCCCATTGGCTGCAGGCCCGGCCCAAGGGACGGAGACGCCGGGGCTGCGCTCGGGTGTTCGGGTGTTCCGCGGCTGCGGGGGCAGCGCCTACGGACGGGATCCCGGGGCCGTAGAGGGCCAGAGAAGTACCGTGGATGTCGGCATGAGAGGGCTAGTGCGGGGCCGCACCCAGGAGCGGCACCGCCCGAGCGCACCGGGCTGGGCTGGGCTGGGCTGGGCCGGGCGGGACGGAGCGCGGAGCGCTCCCCGCACGGCCCCGCCCCGGTCCCCGCGGGGTGGCGGGAGCGGCCGGGCAGCCCCGGCGGCCGCCGCCTCCTCGTCCCCCAGCTTTGGCGCGGGGAAGGACCGCAGCTAGAGGGAGCTGCTCCGGACCGCGTCTGCCCGTGCGTCCCGGTTCTTTCACAGGCTCCCCCGCCCCTCCCCTCCCTCCTTCCCCCGTGATGGCGGAGGACAGCGAGTCTGCGGCCAGCCAGCAGAGCCTGGAGCTGGATGACCAGGACACCTGCGGCATAGACGGCGACAATGAGGAGGAGACCGAGCACGCCAAGGGGTAGGGGCGCGCATGGGGAGCGGGCACGGCTCGGGGAGGCAGCTCCGTCTCCTCCGCCGCGGCAGAGGCCGGGCTGGAGGTGCCCGGGCCGGGCCCCCCTGATGCCCGGTGCGGTCCCTCGGCGGGGCGGGTGTGGCGGCCGCTCCTGCCCGCTGGCGGGCGGCCTGCGCGGCCCGGCCTGGCCCGGCCCGGCCCGGCTCGGCTCGGCTCATCCGCGGCGCCTGCGCTGGGCCGTCCGCGGCAGAGCGGCCCCGGCCCGGGCTGTCTCCCGCCGCAGCGTGCGGGTGTGGGACGGCCCCGCCGCCCGGCCCGGCGCCCTTCTGCCCGTAAGGGGAGAGGCGGGAGGCTGGGCCCGACCCGAGGTGAGGGGGCGGCGGGGCTGGCACTTCCCCGCCGGACAGCGGCCTTGAAATTATGCCATATAAACGAGGGTAAATACTGCCTTCTTGTTGGCGCTTTTAGGGCTTGGGGGCATTTCTGGGTAATTTTGGCCGTCAGGAAGCCCCCTGTAGCGGGGAGATGCCCCCGTGTCCCCCCGGTGGTTCCGGGTGGTTCCAGCTGAGCGGCTCCCGCGGGCCGCCCCGCGCTCATCCACATGCACATGCACACCCACCGCCCGCTCCCTCCCTCCCGGCCGGGCTCCGGCCCGGACATCGTCTGTGGCAGCCTGTCCTGCAGCCGCTCCCCCTCACCGTCACCCATTGTCCTCCAAGAGATGGTACCTCCAGATCCACGCGCTGTGCAGAGCAGAGCGCGTGTTTTAGCACGGCAGTAGCCGGGGCAGACGCTGTTGTCTGGTTGTAGTTCCTTCTCCGCTAATCTCGCGTCTCAGATCTTCCCACGCTGTGGATCAGGCGGTGTTTCCAGTTGCCTGGGGAGCTGATGGGAGAGGCAGCCAGCATAGCTGCGGCCCCTGCCACCCGACCGCTGTTGGGCTGGCTGCAGCGTGGCTCTGTCCGGGCACGAGCTGCCAAGATTCTGGCTTGCTGTGCAGGCTTTTGGGGCAGAAGACTGGGAACAATGTGTTTCAAAAGTCGGCTTCATTTAATTTTTTTTTTTTTTTCTTTTTTGAGGGGTTAGAAACGTGATTGCAGAGAAGGCGCTTTGTTGTCGCAGCTAGGAGTGGCTGGAGTAACCTAAAAATAGAACTAGGTTAATCTATACAGTGCTACACAAATATCTTCCTCGTGAATTTGTGATTGATCTGTTTGAGAGCCTTTCTCTAGGTGATTGATGTTTGAGGATGTATTCTGTTATCTCCTGTCCCTAGGATTTAGTTGACAACAATCTTAAACGTGGCAAGAGAAATCTAAGAGACTTTGGAGGGCTGACTTGTCTAGAAGGCAGGAAGGAGGAAAACTTTGATGCTTGCTGCTCTGTCGTTGAGTTAATGGCATGCACACTAAAATAATTGCATCAGAAATAAGTACAGTAATATAAATTTGGGATATTAAAAGGGACAAAATACTGTTTTGTTATCTTGGGGCTTTTGTTACATTTATTTCAGTAAATATGTCGCAGTTGATGATTCCCAAATATGTGAAAGTAAAGTCCTAAGAGCAGAAAGTTGTTATTTATTGTTCTTCATAGGAACCGAGCTGGCATCCTAGTTGGGATTGTTTGATAGCCAGGTAATACTGCCCAGAATTCATTTGGATTGTATTCCTGCTTCAGTTTGCTGTCCTGTTTGTGTGTGTCCCTGGGTTGTAGCTGCCCTCTGCAGCGTAGCTCTGCGTGTGGCTGTGCTTGGGCTGCTGTGACAGCGAGTGCAGTGTGTGAGGAGCAGCCAGGGAACAAAGAATTGCACTTCGGTGTGTTCTGAATCACAGCTTGCTGCTCTACTTCAACACGGGTCTCGCTGCTCTCTAAGGGGCACCAACTGTAGCCTGTATGGTCTTCTACCCAAAACTAGTTTTTGTTGAATACCCCAGATGTATTTTAATGAGTAATAAAAAAAAAAGCTGTTTTGTGCATCTGTGATTAAGAAAGTGAATACTTTCAAGTAATATGAAGTTTAGTTAAATTAGTGGTAGATCATTCCAGTAGAAAAAGCTTCTTAATTATTAGTATCTGCTGCATGAAGTCTCATTGACTCTTGAATTACTTTATTTTCCTGTAATCTTTGAAAAATCTTGTTTGCTACTCTTTGTCTGCAGGCTGAAATACTCAAACGAATTCCAGCAAATGAAAGGAAAACTCTCACAGCAGAGTATGCAAAATCTACTCTTGATCTAAGAGATTAACCCAGAGTTACAGGAGCCTAATTAATTATTCCCTGTTTTTTCTCCCTGTCATTGTATATTAATTGTTGAGGTAACTTTAAAGTTTGCTTCAAGCTTTTAGATTAGGTTTTATATACTTAAGCAATTTATGAGCAGTCCAACTACTTGAGACTATGACTCTGCCAACTGACTTGCTAAATTCTGCGTGGTCCCTATTGCTGCTGATCTGTATTTAATCTGTTTTAACCAGATGTTTCTTGACATTTGAAAATAAGTCCTTAGAATATTGCCCACAGGAAAATACGATTTTTATATATATATGACTTTTGGGGGGGGGGGGGTTTGGTTTTTTTGAGTTTGGTTTTTTTTTGTTTTGTTGGGTTTTTTTGGTTTTTTTTTAGTTTGCAGATTTTTTTGTGTTTAAGCACTGAATGAGTACAGCAGAAAATAACCATTTTATAGCTCTCAACTGTGCAAATGTCTTTGTCCTCTGATTCTGCTCCTGTTTTTTAGATGCAGGATTATGTATGTTGTGTGACTCATTGCTGTTTTCCTGTTCTGTAGTTTGCTCCTGCTAGACACATTATGCTGTATTTGTTCTGTATTGTAATAAACTGTGGTTTACAAAATATCTTTCTTAGTGTCTTATGTGGAAAAAATGTATTTGTTGTACCTGGATCCATCCTGCCAAGCCCAGCCTTATAAGGTCTCTCACATTCTAAATAACTCCTTGTGGTCCTTGCCAGGAAGGCCTTGGGCATGAAACATTTAGTAAACAGATGAGGAAAAGGTATGACCTTTAAACAACTCCCCCAGCCCTCACAAATTATTTGCTTTGAATGTTTTAGTACTATACACCTATGATTATTGCTAAAAAAGGCCAACTTCATGACAAATACTATTTCTAGATTTAAAAAATAAGCAAGTATTTTTAAGGTAGTGGAAGCAGTGCTCTGTTTTAGCAGGTGAATTTTATGTCTCGGAGTACAGATTATGGACTTGAAGGGTGATGCAGAGGAAACATGCAGATCTGAGGAAATCTCTTGGGTTAGGGTTTAAGGTATTGCTGCTAGGTTTCCATTCTAAACATCTTTCATTCTCAGGCATTGAAATGTATAGAAATGAAATCTTCATGCAGAGAGATTCTTTGTAATGGCAGTTTGTTAGTAAGTGGAATTTGAAGAGCACAGACACTTCTGGTCAAGACCTTTCTGTATCGTCTTGAACTAATGGTAGTTTTTCACAGCAATGAGAAAGCCCTTTGCACCTAAACCTCCATTTTCTTTATGAAACAAGGACAGCTCTAGTATAAATAATACTGCTTTAAAAATTTTTGAAATCTTGCCCATATACATGAGACCTGATTTTTGTGATCAAAAAGATCTGTGTAACATCTTCAGAAACACAGCTTTGCAACCTCACTTACTCATAGAGAGAGAAGTACTGTGAAGGCAAGAACCCCACACAGGCCTTTGCAGTTTAAAAATAAACATCTGAAGTACATGTTTGGTTTTAAATTTGAGAAATTGGTAACTTAAAATTACCATTCCACGTAACTTAAAACAGATGTTGATATTACAAGAGGCTGTTTCTGCTAAAGCAGAATTCAGTGTTCAAAAAGGAAATTAAAATAATAGTGATAATTAGTCAGTGAGAAATAATCTCAAATGAAGGGAACCAAAACAGTTTGACCACCTGTACAGGGCAATTGTCATGCTCCTCCTGATTTTTCCATCTCAGCTTTTCATGGATTTGCTCTGAGCCTCATAAAGTAAGTTTCTCCACCTTTGCTGCACTTCTCCCCAAATGCAGTAAGTATTCATCCCCATTTTTCAGTTTAAAAAAACTCAACCAACCAAAACACCAAATGCAGGGAGAAGCAAAAGTATTTTTTTCCCACATCGATGCAAAACACCAGATGTGTGTACATAAGTGGAAAGGTATGTGGGTGGGATCATGGGCTTGCATTTGTGACTTGCAGACAAAATCATAAAACTGTAGGCCTAAATGACTGTCTTGGAGTCCTATCCACAGCCTGTTACTGGACAAGATTAAGTCGTTTTGGGGCAGAATAAGGTCTTTTGACCCTACTTATGCCTCAACTGAATTTTGATTTGCATGTGACTTCTATGCTGGCCTCACCTTTTTCTTATTCATCCGACCAACAAAATGGTCATTGTGGGTGCATTTAAAAATACCTTAGATTATGCCTGTACTTAGATATAGCTGAACCTCACAGACCTCCTGTCATTAAAGTTCTGCTGGTATCAGCATGTCTCCACTAGACTGATACAGTCAAAATCTTCACAAAGTCTAACCATGAATGGTTTTCTTTGTATAATGTGTTGTGGACTGGGGCAGATGTATTGGTCTGATGCGTGAAAAGGTTGTGTTTCCTGACCTGCCAGCTTGATGTGGCAGCACCCTGAGTTCTGTATTGCTTTTCTACTTACTACATGGGACCTGTGCTCAGAGTTGTGTCACTTTACAGGTGCAGAGTAGTTTGGAAAAACAGATTTCATGCTTAAAGATCAACTTTCATAAAAATGGGAAACTTCTTTCCTCACAGCTTCTAAGTGTGAGATATAATTCAGCATGTCAGCATATAGGTGTATCTGACCAGAGGAGAATTTAGATCTTAGTCAGCACACAAGAGTGTCAGAGCAAAGCTTTTAATAGGAGTCTTTGGTTTCAATCTTGTTACCTTCACATATCCTTTGTGCTGTCAACTCCAGTGTAATTACTAGAGCAACAAAGTTCCTCCCTTCCCAGCCATTCTCACTCCCAGTTTTAGACCCTTTCAGTTCTTTTCAAGGCAGAGCATGAGAAGGACACAAAATCCTGAGATGTTTCAGTTTTGCTTCTGCCCTGATTTGCTTGATATCTCTGGTTGTAACTTGTGTTGGACAAACGTGTTTACTGAGGAGAAGTTTCTGTGTGCTGCCTTGCTGCCAAATATCTGGGTTGCAGGCATGCCTAAATAGTAGGATGAGTAGAACTCTATTTAAATCCTCTTTTTACATTGTGTGGACTGTAACAGTAAAAAATAAACTGGCCCAAGCAGGAGACTGTGCATAAATAACTGCTCAGAAATCCCTGGATAAACTGTCAGACAAAGATACCAGTATTTATTTTGCAACACAGTGTGAAAGATTTAAACCTGAAGGTCATAAACCAAGGACTGGGATTTTGGAAGATTAAAAAATACCAGGAAACACCAAAACCAAGTAGTGTAGTTTTAAATGCCACATATATTTTACAGCAATTCACTTCTGTCTTCCTTCTTTCCCATCTGAAGAATACACATTTCTATATGAAAATGATCTTGAGTTGGTCAAAGAACAAACTGTGATTGTCCTGGTAAAAGTACAGTTTGACTGGGGGTAACATTAGTAAAGCTTGGCAAAGCTGATTTTTCGTCATAGCTGCCAAACGGTTTTTTTTGTTCAATTGTTCATTATTTCACCAAATTAAATAAAACATTGACCCTCAGGTAATCCTAGTGAGCAGAATTCCCCTGTGGTGTATGTGATGTGGCATCCTCCTGAAAGACGAGAAGTGAGCTGCATGGGTGCAGGGCGGGGCTCAGTGCCTGCTGAGAGTGTCTGTTCAAGAACAGTGTTGGCTGAAACTCCGAATAGCCTGATGTTCAGCACACAGGCCCTTGGGAGCCAGCTCAGGGACCCAGCAGCATCATTTGTTTGATGTATGTGAGGTGTTACAGGGAAATGGAAGCTTGTGGACAGTTGCAGGAAGTAAAAAATGCTTCCTTAAATGAATCTCAGCAAAGGTAGAATCACTTTCCCTAGTATTTTTATCTGTTTTGCCAGATAGAGGTGGTGAAGTCCTAGGTCTTATACACACATGAGGTTTTACTGTTTTGTATTTATAACTGCTTGCCAGGCTTTTGGGTCTGTTGTGCATTTAAATTCTGTACAAAATGTCAGGTTGGTATGCAGGTCTATAGATAGATTCAAATTTTATTATTTTAAATGAGTCAACACTGTGCTCAGGTGACCAAGAAAGCCAATGACATCCTAGCTTGTATCAGACAGAGTGGCCAGCCGGATGGGGACAGTGATTGTACCCTTGTACTTGGACTGCTGAAGCCACACCTTGAATCCTGGGTTCAGTTTTGAGCCCTTCACTGGCCTCAAAACTGGTGCTGGAGCATGTCCAGGGAAGGGCAGCAAAGCTGGTGAAGGGGCTGAAGAGTAACTCCTGTGAGGAATGTCTGAGTGAACTGGGGTTTAACCTGGAGAAAAGGAGATTCAGGGGAGATCTTATTGCTCTCTACAACTGCCTGAAAGGAGGTTTTAGTTGAGTGGGGATCAGCCTCTTCTCCCAGGTAACAAATGACAGGACAAGAGAAAATGACCTCAACTTGCACCAGGGGAGATTAAGATTGGATGTGATGAAAAATCTCTTCGCCAAAGGGGTTGTTGAGTAGTGGTAAAGGCTCCCCAGGGAAGTGGGTGAGTCACCATCCTTGGGGGTATTGAAAACATGTGTAGATGTGGCACTGAGGGATATAGTTTAGTAGTGGACTTGGGTTAATGCTAGGCTCAATGATCTTAAAGGTGGTTTCCTACGTAAGCGCTGTGATTCAATGAAATTGTGATTCATCGTGGATCACGTAGGTGGTCTGGCAGTATGCTTATTGTGCAACAGGGGATTTTCTCCCTGATCACTTATACAAGTCCATCTTTTGTTTCTGCAGCCTTCTAGCAATGCTTCAAACTCTCTTACGTCTTCAGTGTGTTTGGTCTCCTCTACTGTTGTTCACTGAGTAGCAACTTGGTCCTGTTCTAGAGGCTGTGGCATTTACAACACTTTCTTTCTGGGAGCATAACTCAATGTATCTTTGAATGTTAAGGACTTCTTGAAATCGATCTTTCATCACAGACTATTCTAAAGTACAGTAATGATCTCAGAAAAATCAGTCTTTGCTTAGTTGCATTGTTTGGTTAATTGCAGGCTTTGGGCCTCCCAACTGGAGGAAGGTGTTTTCTTGACAATAACAGCTCAGACATGGTATAGATGCTAAGACTGGTCATTATAATCTTGAAAGTGAGCATGCAGCAGCAAATAATGTGTCCCTTGTAAATATGTTCGTCATAATAACTTTAGTTATTTTCTTCTGAGTTTTCTTTCTGTTTGTCGGTATGATACCTGGATTTTTCCCCCTCCAGGATTAAAAGAAACAACTGTTTGTTGCATTGACTTTTTTCCAATGAAAAACATCCAAGCCCCCCAAACTCTTGATATCTGTCTTCAGTTCCATTATGTGCATATGGTTTTGCTGAGAGATTAGCCTCTTGAAGACAATTTCATGTTAACTCATACCCTCTATATTTTTGTTCTGTCTGAGAGTCGCCAACACATCCCACACTTCACAAATTCTGATCTAATCTTGATTCTATATCTTGATTATTTGTTAAATAAAAATCTCCTTTAAGAATAACTTACGTTATCAACAGTCAAAATATATCAGAATCCTCAAGTGCAATTTTTACTTTGTTGCTGGGGCTTTTTAATTGAAGTTGACCCCATTGTGCTTATTATTTTAAAGCACAAATACTTGGTTAGTTTTATGTTGTCTCCTGTTGGGATTTCAGCAAGACTTTTATTGTGGCTTAAGTTAGGAACAAAATTTCCTGAAAACAGAAAGTTTCATCTGGATTTTTCTCAAATACAAATGTGTCTGATGGTTGAGCATAAAGGGGGAAAAGTATTGGGGCACTAATAGTTGCTGAGTTTCCAAGGAGGTTACTTTCCTCAGTTCCCGTACTTTCTTGTGTTCCTCCAAACTGTTGAATTTGGTCATTTTGTGTTTGTGCTGGGTAATAGACTGGAGAAGAGCACTGGTTTCTGTGTAGTGTCACAATTTGACATGAGTATGTCAAAATGCCTAGTTGTGCTGGTGTCAGAGTATAAAACAAATGAGCCAGCACTTGCAGGAAGTTTTTCATCAGTGCTCTCAGTTCCCCCCTTCCTTCCTTTCTTTCCGCTGCCTTTTCTTTACATTCAAACTGCTGTTAGATTTTTCATATCAAAATGCTGGGTTTTCCATATTTAACTTTTTTTTAAATTTGAGGCTCAGTGGTACTGATTTTTCTCATTGCACATTCTTTGAATCTCTGGCAGAAGTCCTGGAGGGGATTTGGGAGCGAAGAAGAAGAAAAAGAAGCAGAAGAGAAAAAAGGAGAAACCAAATTCTGGAGGCACCAAATCAGATTCTGCATCTGACTCCCAGGAGATTAAAATTCAACAACCTTCAAAAGTGAGAGCCTGGTTCTGTTTTAATTTGTGGTTGCTTTCTAATTTAATCTTAATTTGTGTGTTGCTTGTTGTAAAAGTGAGTTGGTAGTTCTGCCTTAGTGTGTAAAAATTAAACAAATGGTTCCTGTCCTGAACAGAGAGAAGCAAGCCAAGACCTGGTGTTTTCAGAGCTGTCGTCACCACCACGGTGGTGTACTGTGAGAAAGGCAGAGGAGGAGTTTTGTCTTTCTCTTTGAGCACTTAGAACTCAGGCTAGTGACAGCCTCGTTGCGCAGAATCATAATCTGCAGTGGTAATGCCTTTAAATAGATTTCCTATTTGATGAACTGCTTTTAGTTTTTAGCTACCGTCTAACTTGGCTTAGTGCAGTTTTGGTCACTTGTGCAGCATGAAGCAGGAGGGAAGGTGGGCCTGCTGCGCTAACCAGTCTCTTTAGGGCAAGCAAGCAGCATGTATTTGTACGTAAAATGCAGTAATCCCACACATGGAGATGCAGCTGAAGAAAATTTGTGCTGTCAGAAAGGCCTCCACTATAATTAAGAATGCAGAATTGCTTGGGGGAATGTACAGTCCTTGTGGAGTTTCTGATAAAATAGCATTATTTGTGTGCTTTTGTCTGTCATGTTCTAAATGAGCAATGAATAACATGATGTGGTGGCTTTTTAGCATACAGCTTTTATCCCAAGAGAAATCTGAGTCCAAGAACTAAAGTTTGTAAAACTAAGAAAGTTTGTGGACCATTGAGCATATTGAGGTAGTTACATTCTCTTTATCTGATTATTGTGGAGAATTTTACACCATTGTACCAACAGTAATCTCTGTCCTATAAGATTTGTCAAGTACATTGGAGCTACCAACTAATTATAGGGAAAAATGATTGTGTTCTGGCTTTTGAGCATAGTGATACATTTTTGTGTTGTCCTTTTAGATCTTCTCTGTGTTACCCTGATTGTTTTGAATGGGCACATTTGGCACAGGGGACACTTTATAATATGTAGAGAGTACATATTATATATACTTAAGTGTCAAGTTTTACGTGGGTCTTGGGTCTTCAAAGAGACCAGAGCATTTGTTGGTTGTTGTAAAGTTGTTTATTGTATGAATGCATCAGACTCAAAGGCAAAGAGTTCAGAGTATTAAAGTCAGTGCTAAAGGCTTTCTGGCACAGAGTCCTGATATTTTGAGCAGCAGCACCTCCCTCCAAGCAGAAGTAGCAGCAGCCACAGCAGCAGCTTCCTTTTTCTTCTTTCTTGTGTGTTCTTCTGTTGTTGTCCTGTTGTCCTTCTTTCTTGTTGTTCCTCTCTCCAATACTGGGGGATTTTATTCATAAGGCATCTAAGCAGCTAAAAACACGATTCTAAAACATTCTTTCTACGCTAATCTAAGCTTAATTCTAATGTGCGAAAGTAGTGTCAGTTCTTACCCAAAAACTTCATATAGAGTACTATCTGTTTACATACATAGATCTATCTGTTCTATATATAAATGCAAGTAATGTTCTTACTATGTTTTCATTATGTCTGGAGCTGAGTTATGTTTGTGAAAGGTAACACTTCTGAACTTTAAACTAGACTTCAGGGCTTTTTAGTAGCTAATACAGTCTCTTATGGCACTTAAGTTATATTTCGACTTACTTAAAACTAAAACACTCCTACTTCATGTCTGTAGCTTAATATATTTTAGTTTCTCTAAAGGCTCTAATTTAATCTCTGCATTTCTCTCTCTCTCTGAGGAACTCAGAAACTTCAATTTCATACATTCCAGCACTGAAGTACTTCTTTGCCACATGTTTTGATACTGCCTTTCTCTAAAATACATCATAATACAGGATAAATATAAAGGATACAGGATACAATATAAATACAGAGGCTACACATAAACAGTTGATAATACAGGAAGACTGCTGGCAAATGATACACAAGTAACTTCATACTCTTAAAATTGGCATGAAGTAAATTTTTATGTTAACATAAAGGCATAGTTAATTGCTGTAGTATCCTGTGAATTCCTTGATCTTCTGCTGACCAAGCTTATTGTTCCATGTGTTGCCTCTAATTGCATTAAAATGAAGCTGCTTCATGTTACTTTTGCTTTTGTGTGCAAGATTTTAGTCTTGCACCTTGCAGTCTTGCACACTATTTCTCTGATGTGATATGTTGTACAAATGTGGAAGCCTATCCTTGTTCTAAGTTGTGCACTTAGAGTGGCACTGTTCATGATTATTTTACTGACACAAGTTTAGTTAGTTCATTAGCAATGTTACAAAATTTTATATTTTATTGGCATAAAGAAAAAGTTCTTATATAAATCTTTCTTTCAAGATCTAGGCAGCAAAACCACTTTACTCTTCTTTTCTGGCTTTCACTTTTCTTTAGTCACAAATGCATCAATATTGCCTGGGGGTTATTTTGCCTTCTCTGCTGTGTTGCAGGTCTGTTTTAGACAGCTATTCTGTTTTGGATTTTTTGAAGGCATCTTAGACTGCTGATCTGGATCAGTGTTGAAAAGTATATTTATTTTGTCTGCTGCTCAAGTAATAATTAGATTTTGTATTCTTGTCCTATATGAAATTTATTACAGAAAACAGGCTTTTAGTATTTGCTTGCTCTTGGTTGAAAAGAGTATATTTTAGACAAGAATGACATTGTACACCTTACCTCTAGGAGAATATATGCAAGATCATCAGGTAGAACTCAGTGGGGCCCCTGAACTCATTGAAAATTATTTTGAAAAACTTTTTTGAAGTCATGTGAGTTTGTAAAGAGATGTATCAGTCTGGAGATGAGTAAAGCAGAACAGTGAGTCACTTTGGCTTCTGCCTTCCTTATATGTGATAGTAGTGATAGACCTTTTGAACACTGGTGTGAGTGTAATCATAGCAGTAAATGATTGTTAGCATTGTATGCTTACAGTGACCTTGAGGACACTTTACTGCCCGTCTCACAAGATTTCCATCTTTCCCTATTGCAAGTTCCAGTGATGTAAGCTGTCACACTGACACAAAGAAAGCTTGCCATATCTGCAGTCTTATCAGTCATTATTGTAGTCACTAGTGGCCTAAACAACCTAGTCACAGAATAATAGATTGGAAGGGACATCTGAAGGTTTTTTAACCAACCTGCTGCTTAGAGCAGGTCCAGCTAGATCAGGTTGCTCAGGCCTAGATCAGGGTGTTTGGACTCCAAGGATGGAGACTCCATGATCTTTGTTGGTAACTTATTCCAGTGTTTGACTACAGTTTTTGGTTAGAACAAATAGTAATTCCTCATATCTAAATGGATTTTGCTGGTTTGCAACTTGTGTCCTTTGTTTCTTGTCCTATCACTGTGTTCCTCTGAAAAGATTGGGCTCAGCTTTTTTTATACCCTCCCATTAGGCAGTAATAAGATTTCTCCTACTCCCTCAACCTTCTTTTCTTAAGACTGAACAAACCAAGGTCTCTTGTCTTCTCCATGTGTGTGATGTGCCTCAGCCCACCATTTATCTTGGTGGCCTCCAGTGAACTCGCAACACTCCATCAATGTTCTCCTTGTAATAGAGAATCCCAAACTGTAAGGTGTGCCCTCAGGGGTACCAGATAAAGAGGAAGACTTCCTGGTCAGTCTTACTGGTACTAGCTAGTATGCAGCTGTTCTTTGCTGGCCGTCAGTCTGCTGCCTCATGTCCACCTGGACCTCCAAGTTCTTTTATGCAAGCTGCTTCCTGGCCAGTCCATGCTGCCCTCTGCCTTTGAATGGGCTTTTTCTATACCAGGTGGAAGACTTTGTATTTGCATTTGTCAAACTTGATCAAGTGTCTGTTTCCAGGTTGTCAGAGTAGCTTTGAATAACTGCTCTGTGGTTCAGCATATCAACAGTTCTAGAAATTCTTCTTCTAGGTGTTATCTGTGCACTTGCAAAGAAAGTACTCTTTGTCAAGTCCCAGATCATTAAACAATATTGACCACTGAGTCCTCCCCCTTGCATTCTTGAAAATGGGTGTGACATTTCCTTTTATCCATTTAGAGGAAACTTCCACCAGCTGAGATTTTAAACTTAATAGATGTTAGTTGCACTACATCAGCCAGCTCCCTTAGTATCCTTACATGCATTTGGTGTGTTTTCAGGGACCTGTGCATGATTAGTTTGCTCAACAGTCGCTAACTTTTTCTTAGACTGCTACAGTGCACAGGGACATTGAAGGCCTAAGGTCATCAACAAAACTGAGGCAAAAACACCATTTTGTACCTCAGCCCTGTTGCACGACAGGGCCATCTTGTGCTGTGAAGAGATATTTGCCCTAAACTGAAATGAAACAAAAGAGCTGTTTTTTTGTTTTGCTAATTCATGTGAAGTTCCTTGTAGGTTTTCCTTGCTTTCTGTTAAAGGAAAACAAAATGTGTTGAACGTAAACTTCTTAGTTAGGCCGATCTCTGAATGTTTTGAAACCAAAGGGGATTCCTCGTGATGTCCCTAGCCATGGTCTATCTAGCACCTGAACATTAACTTCTTACTATTACGCTGATAGGGTCTTTCTTAGGAACTGTTTTGTTGGGTTTTTTTAGATTTTCTGCTTTTTTAATGGAGAAGACGTATTATAGACTTTAAATAAATATACAGGATAAACTACAGTGTGTCAACATTTATGTATGATATCATAATGTACTGATAAGATTTCAGAATTTATCTAGTGGCATTAGTAATTTATGTCTCTGTTTATCCTGATCTAGAAATAAGTAGGCTTTTTAGGTCTACTTTTAGTGTTGCTCTAAAGTGTGTAAACATATTAATTCACAGTTACTCAGCTGACAGGTATTTAAAGCACCTTACAGGTGAAATTTGCAATACTTAAACATCAGGCAATTTTTTTCATTAATTTAGATAATAAAAGTGTTTATTATAAATAGTAAATGAAGGGCTACTTGAGCTCCAGGCACTTCTGCTTCTTTTGTGACTGAGGATACCAGAGACTGATCACCCAAATTAAGCTTTACCATCATTATTACATTTATTTTATGATGGTTTTTCAACACCTGAATCCTAGAAAGAAAATGAAATATGGAAATAGTAGTCCATTGCTATTCAGTAAAAAAAAAATAAAACAACAGTCTGGCTTGAAATATCTGTGGAGAGCTGCTTAAAATTTTCCAGTACATTTGAGACTGTTCTTTCAGATGCATTATTGCACTGCAGTCCAGGGAAACCTGAGCACAAGCATGCTGTTGATATGCCTCAGAACAGGACTTAGCACTAGGAACATAACAAAACAAAACAAACAGATTTAAAAAGAGAGAGGGGAAAATCTTTTTAGATTTAGAGGCCTGTTACTGTTATTCCTCTGTACTGTCCTTTGCAAGAAAAATTCTCGTTCCTGTTACATTTACTCAGAGGGATCAAAAGTGAGGGTTTAACAGCTCAATTTAGAAATGCTTAGGTTTATGTTTTTAAAATAACTTTCCTATAAAGACTTCTCAACTTTTAAGTGGAAAATTAGTTTATTTTATGTTTGTCTGCTTCAATTAAAATTGTCTTTAGCTGTCAGTGTTGGCACAGTTGACATTAGCAGCAAGGTGGTTAACTCCTACATGTATGATGCAGAAAGGTGTTATCTGCTCTAATAATTGCCAGAAAATACAAGGCAATATAACTAAGGTTAAAAAGCAGGTATTTGTAGCACATCAGTGTATCTTCAGGCACTACTGAACCAAAGTGAATTTAAATATTATTTTATATTGTATGTGTAAAGTACAACTTCAAACAACTCCATGTGTACTGATGGTACCTTTATTTTTAAATACCTAAACTGACCCTTTTTGAGGGATTTTTTTGTGTTTTACCAGGGGAACAGGGAATATAAGAAGTGTTTATTACCTTAGTGCTGCTGTATTTGTGTTAAAAATGTTGATGTTTCTTGGTTAAATGCAAGTGCTACTGACAAGTATTTTGTGTAGTTGCTTGCTTGTTACCCACCTAACTTTTTTCCACCCTCTGTCTACAAACATTGTACCTAAACTCACTATGATGAGAAGAGTACCTGTAAGAATAGTAAAATAAACTAATATGTTTGTACAACTATTCCCAGAGTAAATGTATTCAATAAGCCTCCTGTTCTGTTTGTCTATGTGTGCAGAATCCAGCCATTCCAATGCAGAAGCTTCAAGACATCCAGAGAGCAATGGAGCTGCTCTCTGCATGCCAAGGCCCAGCAAAGAATATTGATGAGGCTACCAAACGTAAATACCAGTTTTGGGATACACAACCTGTACCTAAGCTTAGTAAGTTAAACTGGATTTGTGTCAAAGATCTGTCGTATGATCACTAAAGAGATGTTGTGCCAGCTCTGTGGCACGTTCTCTAAAATGGGTATAAAGTTGGACTGTGTGTGGTAGGGATCCTTAGTCTTTCATGTAGTTTATGTAGAATTTTTGATGTTTTCTAGGGAAGTACTTGTCTTCCCCATAGATAATATACAGTGTTAATAAGTGTCATTCTGATGTCCTGTGTAAAAATGGGAAATGCTATTGAAATAGCATTCTTTTGTATATTTTAGGTCTGAAATCTTGAACAATAGAACATAGAAGTCTTTTCCACTTTAGGAGAAGTAAGAACCCCTAAGTGGTGACAAAGAGTAGACTTTAATTCTTTTAATTATTATTTGTTTTGTTTGTTTATTTATATTTCCTTAAGTTTTTTTTTCAATAGATGGATTTGTTATCACAGAAATTACTCTCCTGCCATAGGCTGCACTGTTTTCATACAGCTTTAAGTGGATAATGGCACTTGTCTGATACACAGACTCTTCCTCTACTGCTTGTTCATGTCCTTCTCCACAATGTCCACTACCTTGAAGACATGCTTTCTCAGATTCTATTCTCTGTTTTTGATTCCAAGTGAGATGATGAGGTGATCTCTCCTTGCCTTTAAATTTGTAATGAATCTGACAAGTTATTTTTCATACTGATCTGATCCCAGATTACACAGTTGGTAAAACTTCTTGTTGTTGGAGAAATTAATTGCTGACTGTCTTGTGTTTTCTGCATTGCTTTCTGAACCTTCTTTTTCTGATTTCATTGTCTTCAAGTTAAGCAGTTCTAGCTTTTCAGTGTGAACATGGAGGCCCCACAAGTAAAACGTTCTCAGCGCAGTAGCTGGTGCTGCTCTGTCCTGTAGGTTTCTCTCATTGCACTGGAGACTGGTGTAGAATGAGCAGAAATAAGGTAGAGTCTAAAGCACAGGAGCACTCTGCTCACTCTCTCCTCAGGCAGCATTTGACATTAATCCATGGCTATAGCTTAATCCACAACAATCTCATTTTTTCCTGACTTTTCTTGCATAGATAAGTCCAGAGCAGAGTCCCTAGATACAATATTTTCCCCTGGACTGCAATGAATTGACCTGCCATGGCTTTTCTCTGTACAAACTCTATCAAGTTACCTGCATAAAGTAATGGTAGTAATTGTCACCAGCAATCCAGCCTAAATGGAGAAAGACCCTAGCCAAAATAAGTTGAGGTGTAAATCAAAGAATGCTCTGGCCATAATCAAGCTTTTCCGGAGCTAGTTCTGGTGTCTGTGCAGTGGTGCCAGGAGTTCAGTTCAGACTAATCAATGTATTTTACAGCACTTAGAGAGGAAAATCTGTCACTTTTCAGTTCTAAAAGGTCCATACAGTGGGGTTAGTTACAGTTACAAATATTTTGTTAGTATTGTTCAGCAGAAATTTGTTTCATTGAATTTGGTCAGTGAGATTTTGTCCAACAGTGTCTATGAATTTCTACTTAATCTCATAGATTTTTTTTTAAGGTTTTTTTTTTTTTATCTGATGAATGAACAGATTGGGAAGTGATCACTAGTTGATTTACGTTATATATTTAGGTGGAAAAAATAATCTCTCAATTCAAGAAAATGTTGTAGGGATCTTTGCATTAAATTTACTTCAGAATCCTCCAGCCTTCAGGTTAAAATTATTAGCACTATTAGTTACGCCAGACCTGCCGTGTAGTGGCAGTAATATCTGGGCTGTTGGTACCTTCCAGAGTTTGCTTAAAGATGGTAATAATTATGACCTTACAAACTGGATGGCAGGCCATGACTGTAAGTCAGGATTGTGCATCATTTGGAAAAATTAATACTCAGAGGAACATTTGACTGTCCAGTTTGATGATGCTGATGATACAGTTGAGTGTTTATGGGTAAGGATCAGGGGGAAGGTCAACAGGGCAGATATCATGGTGTGAATCAGTTCTAGACCTCCCAAACAGGATGAGGAGCCAGATGAAATATTCTTTAAACGTCCAGCAGAAGTCTCACAATTGCTAGCTGTTGTTCTCATAGGGATTTCAACATACCAAGTGTCTGCTGGTAATACAGAACAGCTGGGAGGAGACAGTCTAGGAGGTTCCTGGAATGTGTGGAAGAGAACTTCCTGACAAAGTTTGTGAGTGAGCCAACTAGGAAGGTGTTCTGCTGGACCTGTTGTTAGTGAAAAGTAAGGACTTGTGAGTGATGTCCTGGTTGGAGGCCATCTTGGGCCCAGTCATTATAAAATTATAAAATTTTTGATTCTTAGAGAACTAAGGAGGGGATCAGCAGAACTGGAGGGATGACTTTGATCTGTTTAAGAGACTGGTTGACGTAGTCCCTTGGGAGACAGTCCTGGAGAGCAAAGATGTACAGGAGGACTGGAAGTGTTTTCAGAATGAAGACTTAAAGATGCAAGAATAGGCTGTCTCCATGTGCCAAAGGATGAGCCAGTGGGGACGAAGACCAGCATTGCAGAACTTTGGCTCAAACTGTTGTGAATGAGTGGTTTGGGCCACCTCAAGAAACATCATCAAAGATAATTGCAACAAGCAGGCTTTAATGTATGTTTGTGGAAGTGCAGCTTAAGAGACTTTGATGGAAAGGGTCTCTCTATTACTTACTACATAGATGAGGCACACATAGCAAAACAGAATTAGCAGCACTTTAAAATTATTTACATGGAAAGTGGGGATGCAGGGAGAGCCAGGGTGCCAAGGATACAGGTGCAAAAATAAAAGGGTACAGAAGAGTTTAGAAGTACTTAATCATTAATTCAACATTTATGAAGTGATTCAATAGGATTTACTACAAGAGTAATTTAATTATAGATTTTAGATAGCAGCATTCCTACTATACTCAACTCACACACATGCACACAGGCGCAGAGTTGTTTATATGCTTCCACATTCAAAGGTTCCTGTTAAAAATTCCCCTTGAGCCCAGTGACATACATTAAGTCCCTTGCATTTCTCAGCAGGCAAGGGTTGAGCCTTGAGGAGTGGAGGATCTCAGCATAGGCGTCATCCTCAGCAAGTCTTCAGAGTATCACAGACTTGAGGGTTTGCAAGCTCCAAGAGACATCCCTCTCAGAGAGAGGAGCTGATGCAGCCCACTGTGGTCCAGGGCACTGTAAAGGGCCTCACTTAGGACCACTCTTCATAGGATTGCAAGATAATTTGCTTTAGTCATCAGTAAGTTTCCATCATGGCTATAACCCACATTGGTAACTGCTTTTTGGGGAAAAAAAAAAAATTTAAAAAAAATCCCATCCAGTAACAATGGTACCATTTCACTTGGGCACGAAATGTGTTCAGGTAAATGGTGTTCCAAGGCTTTCAGGGAGTAGCTGATTATTAGAGAATAAGTGATTATCCCTTGTTCCCCATGTCGTTCAGGCAAATGATGATCTTGATACGGTCAGTGTCACTCCCACGTTTACTGTGCAGGATCTCCTCTTATGGTCAAGGGACATTTCACTGCCCAACTGATTTGGTCAAGGCTTACCAGGAACTCCTGAGATCATAAGAGAGGCCCAAGGATGGATGAGGAGATGCACCACCAGAGGGATTCAGGCAAGAAAATGAGTTAATGGCTATTGAAGAAGAGGCAGGCAACTCATGAGGACTGCAAGGATGCTGAGGTTATGCAGGAAGAAAATCAAGAAGGTCCAAAGCCTTTACAGTGTGGTCTGACTTAAAGGACAGTGCTACAGGAACGACACTGAGGTGCTGGACTGAGTCCAGAGAAGGCAACAAACCTGGTAAAGGGTCTTGAACACAAGTCTGATAACGAATGGCTGAGGGAGCTGGGCTTGTTTACCCTGGAGAAAAGGAGGCTCAGTGGAGACCTTATCACTCTCTACAACTACCTGAAATGAGGTTGTGGCCAGGTGGTAGTCGGCCTCTTCTCACAGCTGACAAGTCATAGGACAAGGGGAAACAACCTCAAGGGGAGCTCTGTCAGGGGAGATTTAGATGGCATGTTAGGAAAAATCTGTTCACTGAAGGATGGTTGAGAATTAGAAGAGACTCCCCAGGAAAGCAGTGGGGTCACCATCCCTGGTGGTATTGAAAAGATAGATAAATATGATGCCAAGGAGCATGATTTAGTGGTGGGCTTGGCAGTGTAAGGTTAGTGATTGGACTGATCTTAAAGGTTTTTTCCAATGTAAATGGTTCTATGATTTAGTAGGTGCTGCTCCTTAGAAGAGGAACAGCTGCAATTTATAGGTGTATACTGTGGACTGGAGCTGTAAAGTAAGGGAGGAGCAGAAAGCATGTTTTCAAGTAGGATTTTAGGAACACGTTTCACATACCACCAGTATCTCTTAAATGCCCTGGCTTTGCTATGTCACTGCTTCTGAGTAATCCTCTTGAGTTCAGGTCTGTTCAAGTCAGTGGTAAACAGCATCTGAGCCATAGCTTTTTAGCTGTGAGTACATGGTCTCATGATGAGGCTGTGGATCTCATGGCTGTTTAAATGCTGTGTGTGTGCTGATAAGTTGTTGTCTCTTGTGTTATGAAATGCAGGAAATCAGATGAGTTAGAGTGGTTCTGTGCATATCTACAAATATTATGATGAGACAGTCATTAGCCTGAATGTGGTCTATGAGAATGAGAAGTAGTGTAAACTAATAATACTAATTTTTTCAGCATTTTTTAAAAGCTTCTTGTTACATTCACATAATTATGAGGAAGTATATGATGTGAATTAAATGCAGTTCACAGCACTATCAGGAAAGCTAGCAATGTAACAGATTTTTCTTTTGTTTTTGTTTTTTTTTTCCCCCTCCTTCTCACTCAAAAGATGAAGTTATAACTTCACATGGTGCAATTGAACCAGATAAAGACAATGTCCGCCTAGAGCCATATTCTTTGCCACAAGGTTTTATGTGGGACACACTGGATCTTAGCAATGCTGAAGTTGTAAGTAGAACAATTTTTATATGTATCTAAAATAATTCAAATTTTTTCTGATTGATATGTGGATAAGTCTTTGGATTTTTTTTCTGTGTGTTTTCAGCTGAAGGAGTTATACACACTATTAAATGAGAATTATGTAGAAGATGATGATAATATGTTTAGGTTTGATTATTCACCTGAATTTCTTCTGTGGTGAGTAGTGAGTTCCACATTCTGTTCTGGCTGGAGTGCAGTGGAGGGTGTTTTTATTACATCTTCTTAGGCAGTAATTTGTAATTATTTCTGTCATCAATTCTAGGGCATTACGTCCTCCAGGCTGGTTACCGCAGTGGCACTGTGGGGTTAGAGTGTCTTCAAACAAAAAACTGGTAGGATTCATAAGTGCCATCCCTGCAAATATTCGTATTTATGACAGGTAAAATGCACCAGTACTTTTCAATTTGTAAAAGAATAATGCCACAAAACAAACCTTAAACTGGTATCCATTGCTATAGAGAACTTAAAAAGAGAGAACGAGGTGAAGAGCACCAATATTTATTTAAGGAATTTTCTTAACGATGGACAATACAGATAATACCATACAATTTTCTGACCCTGCTGAAAAGCATTTATAGTTGATCAGCTGGGCTTCTTACACTATTGTGACACCACATAGCATTGCTTGGATGCTATACTGCCTCTTAAAGTAAAGCAGTCAGTTAAGTCTTGATAGAGCTCTAATAAAGGACTATTTAAACCCCTTAGAGGTAGCTTGCATATTGCACAGTTTGTCATTGCAGTCACAGTGCCATAGATCAGTGTTCCTTGCAGATGTGCTTTGTCACAGGCAAGTTTATTTTACTTCAAATTCTTCTGTCACAGTATGGAAAACTAATTACAAAAACGGAAATATGTCATGTGCAACTCTCTTTAATTTTTCCACTACTTAATGTCTTTTTAGTGTGAAGAAAATGGTAGAAATCAATTTTCTGTGTGTCCATAAGAAACTGAGATCTAAACGGGTGGCACCTGTACTGATTCGGGAAATAACCAGAAGAGTAAACTTGGAAGGAATTTTTCAGGCTGTTTACACTGCTGGAGTGGTACTTCCCAAACCTGTGGCCACTTGCAGGTAACCTAGGTGATGTTCTTAATAATATTGGTTCTTACAACAGTTATTTTTAAGAAAATTTAATTTTTTTTTAATATTGTCTAAAAACAGTAAGCATGAAATTCAAAGGTATTAAATATTGTGGCCTTGACTAACCTGAAGGCCTGAGTGTTTGTCAGTGTTGGATTTTTTGATGTTGCGGGTTTTTTCCCCCTTCCCTCCCAGTGCCTCAGATAAAACAGCTTCTCAGACTAAAATTGAATTTGTGGTTGGTTTAGCATACTTTAAATAGACTAACAGATGTTTCTGTTGACTTTCTGGTGGCAGCCATGCTAGCAATGACAACATTGTATACCTGTGTTTTTCAAGTGGCCTGTGTCCCTGCTGGGACCCTTCCCTGTTAACCTGGTTGCTTGCCAGAGATGGCAGAGCATTTCTGGTAATTGTGTGATTTACTTTCTTGAGATACTTTCATCTTTACTGGAGAAAGGAGGACTTTATTGGCATTTGACAAATACAGGAACACTACCATGTGAGAAGAGTTACAGTCAAATATAATTCAATTTGCTTGGAATGGATTTTATTTTTACTAGGAAAAGTTCAGTTTCTGCACTTTTAGTCCAGCTGTTTAGACTTCTGGAGGACACAGTACCTTTTGATTTGAAGTTGTTTTGTACCTATCAACACCAAATTTCTGGAAGGAATGATGGGGGCGGTAGCTATGCTGTGTTAGAACAACCAGAGGTGCTCTGTTGCACAATGACCTCCCAAGAAAGGGAGATCACCTTCAAAAATAATGCTTAGACATGAGCAGAGGGTCCTGTCTGCATAAGAAATTAAATGTTATTATGTATGTATGGTGAGTTTTTCAGGGCTATGACAAATGCAAAAATGTTTAGCCCTGTACTTATTCATTCTGTATCAAAAAACATTTGCTTAGATTGAAAATACTGTGATAGCAGGCTTGTTTAAAACCTATTGCTTGGATATAGCTTTTCCTTAATTTTTTTTTTTTTTTTGTTAATCAATCTTCTTGTAGATGTAGTGCAGGCTTGCTTAGAGATTTGGAGAGCAGAAAAAGAACAAGCAAGAAAGCAGGTCAATGGATACAAGTGGCACTGACACTTAAAATACTATTTAAATTCATTATTTGGTTGTATTTTAGGTATTGGCATCGATCACTAAATCCCAGAAAATTGGTGGAGGTGAAATTTTCACATTTGAGTAGAAACATGACTCTACAAAGAACAATGAAGCTCTACAGACTTCCTGATGTAAGCAGTATGACTTCTAGAGAATCCCCACAGTTATTGTGAGGCCCAAAATAACCTTCCATCTGTCTCTGACAGCACAGGCTTTTCTGTGTAAAGGCAGTGCATGCAGGACATTAAAAAAATAATCTCTGGTTGATGAAAAAGACCTTAAGGGCTATACAAAACAGAAAAGACTATTGCTGGAAATCTGGATCTCTATGGAGAAAATACAAATTTTGACCTAAAACCCTTAAACAAAGGAAAGAAAGCCCAGAAAGCTTGACTTCACAAACACGTGGGATTGAGTTGAAGATTCATAAGACTATTCTTGGTATGTTTAATCTGATAAGAGATTACTGGAATAGAAAATCAACAGTTCATGTCTTAAAATTCTCAAAGAAATCCGTCAGCAACTTGGCTGAATACAATCATATTGTTGATTCCACTCTAATTCACATTTTTTTCTGTACTGTCAGAGAGTGCTGTTTTTCTGCATTGAGCAGGCTGAGTAAAAGCCACTTCAGTATGTTGTGCACTGTTAGTTTGCATGGTCTAGTAAAAAACAAGTGTTCTGGCATAGCTAGTTTAGTTAAAACTTTCTTTTTCTTGTGTTTGCAGCTAATCGTTAAGCTTGCAAAAAGCCTTAGGGAGCACTTCCGTGATTGGGCAAGTCACTGTAAATACTATGTACTGTTAAAAAATCTCATTGCTGTAATTAATAGCCTGTAGAATTTAGTGTGAGTTTATGGGAATTTAGTGTGAGTTTATGGCTGAAAACAATTTATTTTCTTGTAAAAGCTACCTTTTTTGGAGGGATTGCAGAGTATCCCTTACCTGTACATTATCAGTAAACCTCTCTTTATTTAAACAAACACTTTATTTTGGTTAAAAACGACGCTTTTTTTCCTCACTCACAGTACTTTATAATGATTTATCTGATTTTGGAGAATTGTGTCAGTTGCTATGTTTAACATGATGCTGCAGATTCTCTTACTGCTCAGATATTTGAGCAGTAGGCTGAACAGCCCTTGGAATCAAGCACATGATGCCATGCCTTGATCTGTACTCCTGCTGCTGTCAGAGAGCCTCGTTTCCTTCTCTGCCTGGTGCCACCTGTGCCTGCACATTCAGCTTCTCCCTTGTGTGCAGGGTAGCAGTTTGCAGAGCTGAAGAATTAATAACCAAATTAATTGGGTTTTAATCTTGGACAGCTAAATATAGCTTCCTTCAAATCTTAAAGACATTTTTAACAGTCTGAAGAGTGCAATATACAATTTCAAGTGTAGGTTTTGGTGGCAACTCTAGGAACATTGCTTATGGAAACAACTCAGGAAGTGAATAGTTTAAAGAGTAAGAATCTTAATTGTAGTACCAAAGGTGTAACTACAGAGAATCATTAGAAATAGGAGTTGTATCCTTATCATTTTCCTTCATCATAAAACCCAGTTTCAACAGAGAAGTAAATTATGGAAAATAAGTAATATATCATATCTCATCCATAAAATATAGCTAAGGCAAACATACACTGTACATAGAAGTGCAAATAGAAAATAGATGCTTTCAAAATCAGCTTTTTAAACTAAGTGATGTAGGAGTCCACACACCTCAGGATTTTTGTTATTTTTAGGTTGGATTTGGGAGCTTCTCAGTGGAAAATAAAGATTTAATCTTTCTTCTGATCTTTTCTCTTTAGGTCTTGTGCTTTGGGTTTATTTGGAGGCCTTTTTTTTTTTTTTTTCCGAGAGAGGGATTAAGTGCTGTTGAGGCTCTTTTTCCTCAATTTCAGGCTGTTATAAACACTACTGTCAAACAGATTTGACCATTCAGGCCATGCTATAGTGTCCCTCAGCACCAAACACTGTTTCTTGTATTTTAACCTGTTTTCTTAGTGTCCTTGGAATATCATTGCCACTAGGAGTTCATCTCCCTTTAAGAGAATTAATCATTCCTAATTACTTGAACAACCTGAATTAAAAAGGTTTTCAGGCGTAATAAATACTGTAATTAATAAATATCACCATCCCTAAAGGCTGTGCATGTTCCTATAGATACAAAAAATAAAAGTGTCCTTTTTCTAAGTGTTTAATCTCTTGAGCAAGGAGTTTTCTGGAAGAAGTAAGATTTGTCTGTGCTTAGAGTCAGGACAGGAGTATGTTTGTCTCTGTTGTTCTTTTCCTAACCAGCTGAGATCCTGATGCTGGACAGTTGCATGATTATGTGCCCAGTCCAGCAGAGAAACAAATTTTAGCACAGTTCTGTACACTTTCCCTTACCTCTGGGATTGCAGATAGTCACTTACTGGTGGCACTTCTGAGCATTACTGAGGGGAAAAAGATCTTCCAGCCCAGCTACTTTTCCTCCATCCTTCCTGTATGTCAAGTGTACACCCTTCTGGAATAAGGACATTTAAAAATATAGATGATGTGCTGTTGTGGAGTCAAACCATAGTCCCAGGCTGCCTAGAAAAGCGGGAAGGCTGAAATATAATACACAGGCCAGAGCTGTGGCAAAATGTGCCTTGATTTCTCATCTGTCTGCTGACTCCCAGAGTGCGTGAATAAACACCTCCCCCAGAATAATGCCTTTTGGGCAAATCATAATCAGCTACACTAATTTCAGGCTTCCAGTAATCAAGTCTCTACCTGGCTGCTCTTGTAATCGACTTTGCTATGATTAATGTGGTACGTGCCCAAGTATGTAGCTCAGACCGATGAGGCACAATAAATGAGCACTGAAGAGAGCAAGCATTAGCCTCCCCTAAAGGAAATATCCAGGAAGGCTAGCAAAAGATGAGAAGAACACTTTAATCACTTTCGCTTGCTTAAACAATAATTGCGTAGTACTAGAAAGTAATTTTTTTCCTTTTCTGATGTTTGAAGTCAGAAAAATAACTTTATTTGTTAAAATAAGTTTTAATTTCAGGCAGCTGTAATTTATGAGAAGCTCTCTTGTTAACAGAATAGCAGTTGTGCCTGTATGGAAGGTTGTTAGAAAGGAAGTTTACAAGTGCTAAAAATAGAATCTTTTTTGTTAAATAATTTCTAATTAAACTTAATCAGCTGACATTGATGTATATATAGCTTGACTGTAATTTCCATAAGTTTGAATTGCTTGTGTTCTTGTCTTGAGATAACTTCTGATATGCAAGTTTCTTTGTTTTGTTTCTGTGTCTTGGGCCCCAGGTAGTTTAGAAGAGGATAAGAAGTAGATTGACCTAAAAAAAAAATAAAAAATACAAATCGCACGAAGTGTAGGCAGCTGGCGATGGTATGTCTTTCTCTGGAGAAATTAAGCTGATTCAATAATGAAGTAAAAAGATTGAAGTGTCCCAGACTGTCTCAATAATTAGAAGGGAGGGAATTCTGATTGAAAGCCGTTTGTAAAATAGCATAATGAATTAGGTGGCTGGGATAAAGTAGGCTAATAGTGAATGCATTATAACAAGTGAAGTGACTCTGCAACCTACTTTCAGCCTTTGCTGTATTTGCAGTTTTCCTTTCAACATCTTAACATTTATTTTTCTTCTTTTACACTAAGGCCACAAAGACTTCAGGTTTGAGACCAATGGAGCAAAAAGATACTAAAGCAGTACAAGAGTTAATCAATACTTACTTGAAACAGTTTAATCTTGCTCCTGTGATGGATGAAGAAGAGGTGGCCCACTGGTTCCTGCCTCGGGATCATATTATTGACACTTACGTGGTAGAGGTAAAATATGCACTAACATACATGACTCTGTGTGTGAGTGCCACTGACAGTAGTTCATATCAGCATCAAGTTTTTGAAATGCAGGCAGTATGAAATAAGTGTGTTACAAACTTTGTTCTTTGTATTACATTCTGTTAATAAGAAAAAGTTTGGCTGTGATAAACTGCAGTGCTCTTAGAATAGAGTATGTTAAAGGAGAATTCTGAAATATCCAAATACCACATCTTGACAAGAACCCTTCCTACCGTATTTTAAGGTCAACTTTTCCACCTGAATTTCTTGATTCTTTTTTACAGAGATATGACTTGATAGTAAGGAGTGGTCTTCAAACCTTCTTTTCTAGAAAAAAGGGAAACTGAGGCCTTGACTGAAATAATGATTTGTTTTGAATTGACTGTCATTCTCCCAAGTGTACATGTTTCTGCCATACACCATTACAAAATGCTTTTTTAACAAAACCTAATTTTAGAGACACCTGCTGGGGGAATTATGTTTCTTGATGATTTGCTTCAGTAAAGTGTATTTTTTCCAGTAAAAGAATGTGTGTATATATGTGTATGAATTTGCATATATATATATGTATACATATATACATGCATCTACTATGCCCACCCCCCAAAGCAGTGGTCATAATGCTTCTCTCAAAATAAGGAGTGCAGGAATAGATTAGTGTTTGGATTGGAAATCTCCCAGACATGTTTGAAATAGGTGCACTAAAGCTAGTGGAAAGATAGGCCTTCCCTTTGAGTCCATACAAAATCAGTTGTAGACAGCATGCTTAGACAGTGTATTACTTTGCTTAAAGTGATAATGTTATTTAAAAGTGATCAGCACTAACATCCCTAAACCTTCTCACAGAAGCCCTAGGTTGTGAAGCTCAGTGTTCCCATGCTGTAACCCAAAGTTGTGCAGGAGCCTCAGCTGAATTAGGAAACCTAGAGCTGATGGAGATGAGTGGTCCTGCCCATCAGTTTTTACTGTCCAAGCTTAGTTTTCCGCCTACTTTGTAGTGAGTCTAGTGCTCATTGGACTTTTCCATGGTCTAATTTATACTTCTACTTTCTTTCTCCACTTCCTCTTCTCCCTGCCCTCTTCCCCGCTCCCTGAATCTGTTTTTGGCTTGCTTTGTGAGTTGAAGCCTACAGGAGAGTTCACAAGCACCAGGATCAGCATGAATGTGACATTAACAGTGCCATATTTACTAAACAGCACAGTCTTCACTTACTTGTTTTATGCTGTCTCTTGCACTAGTTTTTTACTATACAAAATTAGTGCTTAAAATCTTTTTAAGACCTGTGTCACCTGGAGAATCTACTGTCAGACAAAATACTCTGTATAATTTATGAGTTAATATTTTCATCATTCTTAGTGAATTTAGTGAGTGAGTCAATAACTTTTCTGTTCCTTGTAGTTAGTATTACTCTACTACAGAATGTGTACCTGCTCTAAGACAAAAGATTTTTTGCATGTGGTACATTCAACTGTTTTACATTTTACTGTCAAAGTACTGTTAATTTAAGGAGCCATATGAGGTTCTTCATTGAACTCTTAATTAGTGGTTATTAGTCATTCAAAAATAAAGCAAACAAGCAAGAAGTTTTTGTGTGTCTCCTTTGCCTTATTTTCTTGGAGATACTCTGGGGATTTTTCTGTGCTCAGCATGTTAGTCATAACCCATGTAATAATTATTTCATAACCCATGTAGTAATTATTTTCTATTTCCTACTAATCCACACTCTTGAAGATGGTCAGACTTCCATCTTCAAGATGCAATTAAGAATTTTTATGTCATATACTTTAGATTTCTGTATAAACAACTTTTTTGATGACTACTAGTTTTATTAGAATTTCAGTGTGATTCAGCACTGTTGTCCAACAAATAAGTTGTGCTTGTTGATTAATATTTAAATATGCTTTGTATACCAGCACAGTATATTTTTTCTCAATTTTTAGAAATATGAGAAAATTATTCTTTGATGTGACTATCATCAGATTTTTAAATTATTTCTAATATTTTAAGAATACTTTATTAAAAATTAGTTCAGTCAGAGAACTTCAATATCTTTAGTGGAAGTGTGCTATGTTTGCTTTGTCTGTAGCAAACCACTGCTTTCACAATTGTTTGTCAAAATGTTAGTGGTATAATAGACTAGAAAAATCTAAATGTTTGTTTCTTCAAATCATATCTAAGACTAGCTGTTATACCATAGTACTTACAGTGCACAAACCTTACTGCATTTATTACTTTCTGTAGAACTGTCACATTAGCCTAACCAGTAACTGATTACTTACTAATGGACTTCATTGTTTGTTTTCTTTTTAGGGTTCAAATGGTATTTTAACAGACTTCCTCAGTTTCTACACATTACCTTCAACAGTGATGCATCATCCTGTTCATAAAAGCCTCAAAGCTGCCTATTCCTTTTACAATATTCATACAGAGACTCCCCTGTTGGACTTAATGAATGATGCACTCATTATAGCTAAATTGGTAAGTTGTGGATTGGGTTTTTTCTGCTTCATTCACAAAAGTATTCTTAGGAGTAGTGGCAAGGTAAGAACTGAGTAATTTATCCATGCCAGTGCATTCAGCTTTACTGTTTACAGCACAGAGTGCAGTTGATGAGACATGTGCAATATATATATCAAAATATAAAGCAGTATGTTTGTTTTTCCTTTTTACTTTGAGTGATGCTGGGGAATGACAGATGCATAAAGTATTTGCAATAGCTTGAACTGTGGAAAACCCAAGAGCACACTGATGACCATAGTCACTAAGTATCAGAAGAATGAAAAGTATCACTGAAATAATTTCCCTTGGAGATAAATAAATAAGCACTATTAAATATATTTTGCTTTTTAAAATTATGTTTTATTCCTAAAAAATGTAGAAATTTATTTATGTGAGCTTTATCATTTTATCATTGCTACATGTAAAGCTCTGGAGATGATATCATGGCATAACTTTTAAGAATACTCTTAGGTATTATTAGGAATCATTATTATTAGTAGTAGTAGTAGTAGTATTAGGATTAGTATAATTAGGAATTATACTGATAGATGTTTGGTTGAATGGAAGGGAAAAGACTATAAATTAAGTTCTCAAAGAGAAGAATATTGAGAGTTTAGTACTGTCTAATGAAAAGGTGTCACTCAGCTCTTAGTGACTGGGGTTTCATGGGAGTGCAGTGCTAATACCAGTGGCACATACCAGCACTCTGAATGAATTTGCAGAGACCTGTTTGTCCTGGGTGGTTCAAAGCACTGCAGAGGCTTCATCTGGTCCATAGCATCTGCCCTGCAACGATTCCCAGCAGGCTGCAGAGCACAGGCATGTTTTCTCCTCCTCCTTCCCGCTGAGATGTTGCTGCCGCACAGCTGGTGGTCTTACAGCACCAGGGAAGTGCTCCAGCAGGCCATGCTCAGAGCTGCCTGCACGTACCACAGGGATTTCTGTGTTGGCTCTGGATGAAGCCAGTGATGGTCTGCAAGGGCTGTTTCTGCTCAGACTTGAGGCTGCATGAAAGCAGCCACACAATCTTCAACCTGTCTGTCCCAGCCATGTTCATGCAGCACTGCAGCTGAGCTGCCATCTGTGACGGGAGCTGCTTGCTGAGGCTTGTTCACCTAGAAGCAGTTCAGTAACTATTTGTCAGGGAAAACTCCTGGATAGTTACAGAGTACCATTACTCAGACTCCAGAATGATCCAAAAGGAAGTTCAGAGACAGACTTTGAGAAGTTGCTATAATTTTCAGGAGTGGCTAAAAATACTAGTAATTATTCTTAAAAGTCAAGGTGGAGGAAGTTTGGTCTCAGTCAGTGTGGCACAGGGAGCTGTGTGTCTGGCCATTCTCTAGGGCGTGGGTGGGACGGGTGAGGAGGCAGTTCCATGGTCTGACCACAAGGCTTTGCACCTTCCCCTGCATACGTTTCTCTCTCCATGTGACATGCAGCTCTTTTCCTTTTGAGTGGATCATCCTATATCCCTTGCAATACTGGGATTTAGACACCTGTGGATTTCTTAAGTACCTGCTGGGCCTGTAATGCATCGTTAAATGCCTAATTATAGTTGCAGACCTGACAGTTGAGTTTTACATGAAGAGAGGTAAGGCAACGGAAGAGAGATGACAAATGCAGTCCTATTCACAGCCTTTTGTTTACAAACATACTGAGTCTGGCTGGGATGGAGTTAACTTTGTTCCTAGCAGCCCATATGGTGCTGCTCTTCGTCACTGAAGCAGGGCTGATAGCACACCAGTGTTTTTGGTTGTTATTGAACAGTGCTTGCTCAGCCTCAAGGCTTTCTCTTTCCCCTGCAGTGAGGAGGTTGAGGGTGGGCAAGAAGTTGGGAGGGGACGTAGTCAGGACAGGTGACCCCAGCTGACCAAAGGAATGTTCCACACCCTATGTTCTGCTCCACAATAAAGGCTGAAGGAAAGCAGGAGGAAGGGAGGATGCTTCTGGTGATAGCATTTATTTTCTCTAACAATCATTATGCATGCTGAGATCTTGCTTCCCAGGAAGTGGTTTGACATCTGTCTGGCAGTGGGAAGTAGTGAATGAATTCTTTTTGCTTCCCTTGTGCCTTCAGCTTTTGCTTTCTCTATTAAACTGCCATTATTTCGATTCACAAGACATCTTGCCTTCCTTCTATTTTCTCCCCCTCCTGTGGGAGAGGAGTAAACCAAAGGCTGTGTGGGTGTTAGGTTCCTGTCTGGGGACAGCCCACCACAGTCTTCTTTCTGTACTTTAACTCCAAAGCATGCATTTTGGAGGTACAAATTGAACTCAGCAAATTGATTTTAGGGTTTGCATGTCAACTAATGTTTATTTTTATCTTCATATCACACTCTCTATAAAATTAGTGAAGAATTAGTTTGGCAGTTACCAGACAAAACACCCGACCTTCAAAGTAAAACCCAAAATTTTGAGTTAATATCTTAGGTTCTATGCATTCTGCATGGGGAGAGAGTGAAATTTTGCATCAGGATAATCCCTCTAAAACCCTGCATATTGTTGAAGCTGACACTTTCTAGATCTGGAACACACGTTCCGAGTCTGCTTTGGTGGTCTGTCAGAGCTGTGGAGAAAATACCTTTAAACGGAAACCTTTTTCACCCTCTCAGAAGATACTAACCTGAAACTAACCTGCTGATGTTTAAATACTGAATTAAAACTAGATCTGTAGAGTTTTGTTTGAATATTGAGTGTTATATTGCACAGCTTAGTGTACTTGTATCTAGAGTGTGTCTCTATTCTCCCCACTTCCTGCCATCTGAGATTGCTGTTACTGTTACTTACTAACTTGGAATATTTCAAAATCTACTTTCAATACCAAATGTCAGCTGTTGTCACCTCATTTGTCTTATTTCTGAATGTTTTTCACAGCACATTTAACTTAGCATGGTGTCATCTGCACACAGAATGATCTTTGTATAAGGTAGCAGGAAGCCTTACTAAACTCGCTTTCTGTGCTTTGTAACTTTCTTTTAAAGAGTCATGATGAAGAGTTTAAGTGCTCTTTTTCTTCAAACCCCTTTTTTCCTAATATGGGTTGCTCATTTAAAAGAAAAAAAATACCTTTTTTTTTACTGAGTAAAGAATGTCTCTTAACCATTACTTGCTTAAGTAATTGAGCATTATTGTTTTGTACTTTTTGTCTTAAAAGTGTATCATGTCCTGCTGGTGCCCTCCCTTTGTGCTGTTAAGACTCCAGGAGCTGTAGACCATTGTATTTTTTCCTTTTAATTAACCTAGGTCTCTTGGCTACTGTATGCCACTCTGTAAAGTATCATTTGTGTGACATTTGAAAATTTCAAAAGTAAAATTTAAAAATGTTTTGCTGTTGTCAGAAAGGATTTGATGTGTTCAATGCGCTAGACTTAATGGAAAACAAAACATTCCTGGAAAAACTCAAGTTTGGGATTGGAGATGGAAATTTGCAGTATTACTTGTACAACTGGAGATGTCCAGGCATGGAATCTGAAAAGGTAAGGGAGAAAAATGATTTCCTGAATTACATTAGACATAATGGTACATTAATCTACACTGGCCAAAAATGGGAAGAAGTTTTAAAAATAATGTAATTGGCCCTGTTTGTGACCCTTAATTGAGATGAAGAAGACTATTGATGTTTAGATTTACTGCCATACTTCAACTAAAATACTATCTTTTTCTTCTTCCTTTAGGTTGGTCTTGTATTACAATGAGAACGCTTATGTTTCTAGAACTCTTGAGGTCATCATTTGAGTTAATTTGATCTCCATAACTCTTGAAATGGTATTGTTCAAGAGGAGTAAAAGCACAACGTCAGTGATACTGAAATAGTCCATTAAATCTGATCAGTGAAGACATCCACATGTGACCAAATTTATGCATTTTCAGATAGATCAGACGGTTCATGAAACTCTTCTATTGTCCATGAAAAGAATAAAAAGCACATTCATTTAAGTTTCAAAGCTTAGCTTGCACCTGGATGAGAAGAAGGTATTTTTTTCCACTCTGTAGAAAAGACTGTTTTGTACAAACTGAACTTCAGTGGTGGATTAGGGTACAAAAATATTTGCTATTATGTGGATGAACTGCTGCATTTCTATTTATTAAGTGGTGATGTATGTATATCAATGTAACAGAATGAAGGATACAAACTGGAGTATCTTTGCTTATTTACTTAACATGGATATCATAATTTGGGGGAAAATCACAAAGTACGATGCGTTTGTAGCTCTGTGAAAGTCCTGGATGTTTTTGTAACTGGAGCAGTATGACAATGTACTGGTTTAACTAGTGCATTTGTTTCTCCATAAGCAACGCTGCCAAATCAATAAAAAATACAGATTTGTACTTTGATCTTCAATAGATCAGTGGATTGATTTAACAGTATCGCACTGTTCAGTGCAGGTGTTATCTATGTTGCCAGAATGATAATACATTACTGTACTTAATTTACAGTTGTGGCACAATACCTTAGTTTTTCCTCAGTAGAATAACATCAGCCTGTGTGTAAAACTAAGAATTTTAGTAGTGCTATCAGGATATTTATAGTTTGAATGTTTTTGACGCTTCTGCGAAATTGCACATATTCCTTTGTCTACTTTGATTTCCTATGAAGTCTGTAATTCTAATGAAAAGTACCTTGTGTAAATATGTATTCATAAATTGTTCCTGGTAGTGTTTTTATCCTGACTTTGGAACAAGAAGTTTTGCTATATATGGGCTGGTAAGCAGAAGAGAAATGCTCTGCCCTCAGTCCTTGGAAGTGTACTGCGCTTCCCGAAATGTTGGAGGGCTGATCTTTGTTGTTGGGTGGAGCTGTTTTAATTCCCTCATGAATGCTCAGCAATGGGAGTGGCTTCTGAAGAACTTTTTATGCATTCCAGCATAGCATCATAGCTAGAGATGATAGCAGTTCTTTCAGCTCATGGATGCTGCAGAATCGTGAGCACTGAGAAAATCTGTGTTAAGAAACTGTTCTAGCTGAAAGTGCCAAATCGTGGTAGTGAAGCCTCTGTGCTGTGAGCATCTTTTGAATGTGACTTGAATATCTCATGAAATGCAAATGTCTAACTTTCCTTTTAAATATGCCTGTAATTATGACAGCAGATTTTGCTGAAAGTTTAATTCTGTACATGAAGATAAATTTGTCTGTTCTTCATAACTGTTAGCCCTACCCACCACCTTGTAGCAGTGGGGTTTTTCTTTCTTCCCGCTCTTTTTCCACTGTGTGAATGGTTTGTGGTTTGGTTTCTTTTTCTTGTTGAATTGTGGTGAGAGGATTCTGCCCTAGGAACAGTGATAAATACTTTCCCTTACTGCATTATAGCTGATTAAAGCATTCGACCTCCTTCAAAAAAGGAAGGGACTGAACGTGGTTTGTTTGACCCATGGTTGTGCACCAGCTTGGGACCTCATGAATTTAAAAGGACTTCAAAGGAGATCTAATGGTGCAGTTGGGCTTTACATCTCTGGCCACTCTTGATACCTCTCTGTTAGCAGCAGTGAAAACAGGTGGTGCAGAGACAGCTTGGACTCTGTGAGGCCTGAGCAGAATTAAGTGCCTGAAAATGTAATTGATGGTAGTGATACCTGAGGTAACAAGAAGGATTTAATCTTGACCCTGTCAAAGACTTAACTCCTAAAAGGCAAGAAGGTGCCTCTTTGGCAGGGCATTTTCATGGAGTGCTCTGGGATGAGGTTCACCAAGGAACTCAGTGTGTTCTGCTTCAGCTCTTAAAGGCAGAGCCTCAGCAGTCTTCACTCAGGGCACCACCCCTGAGGTGGGACAGCAGGGCGTAGCTCTGTCCTCGTGGCTAAGATACTTCCTTGCTGGGACAGCCCAGGTGATCACAGCCCAGGTGAAGTACAAGTTCATGTTCTCTGCCTTCCTTCCCCTCAAAAAAATGCAAGTGGAGGAAATGTTAGGCAGATGATTTCTCCTCTGAAATCTGAAGGCAGATTCTCCCAGGTATTGTCCTTGTAAAACCATGATGGCCATGATGGGACTAAGTATGTCCAGGTAGAAGACAGACTTGAATGTGGGTTTCCTGCAGCCTGACTTCTGCCAAAATCTTCAGGTTAGGGCACATGAAGGAAGGAGCATGGCCAGTCTTGTCCTCTCTTCTAGTAAAATAGTGCTATTTGCATATGAATCCAAGGGACAAAGTCTTGTCTGGCTCACTCTGCATGTTCACTGAGGGGCTGGAGGGCAGAGACATGCTCTTGTAGAAGCTGTGCAGCACTGTAGCTGAGAGAGAAAATTTATCAGCCCAGAGCATGAGGGAAGCAGGCATCTAAGCCAAGTGTTGGGGCAGCTCTTGGAGAGTTCTGTTCAGTGTGTGTTAAGCATGGCCTCTGTCCTTGCTGACTGCTCTCCACCTGTAGTGTTTTGCTGAAGTATCACAGCATCAAGAGGACTTGCATCTTGAAGGTGTCCTAGCCTGCACCCACATAATGAGACAGTTACTATGGAGGTGAAAATTGTGGCAACTCACTTTGACTTCCTAAGCAGGTACTAAACAGAAAGTGAACATGTGTGTGGGGCCACTGTCAGGAGAGACCCTTCTCTTGTTTCCAAGGTTGAACCTGTGTGCATTAGTCCTGCTATGAAGGTAAGACTTCTCAGAACCTAATAGATGTTTGGAAAGGATTGGCAAATCTGAAGCTTACTCTACCACCTTTCCCACTGGCTTTTTAAATATCTGTTACTTCTTTCCCAAAGTAACTTCCTATCTGCAGAGGGAACTCAAATCCCTCAAGATAGACCTGGGCAGGCAGTGAAGTGCTTGAATGATGATTGCTGTGCTTATGTTCTTTACCAAAGCTAATCTTTATGCTCTTTGTGAATTTTACAACTCATGCTATGGTTAGCCAGCCTGGGAATGAAATACGCTAGTGCCAGCATGCCTTCAGTTTTATACACCCAGAACGCCAGAAAAAAAGGATATGTATAAAGGACTGTGAAGCAAGGCAAAGAAATCTCACCTCTTCTTGCACCCTCAGACACAGACAAAATTGTAGCATTAAATGCTTTAACTTCGAGGTGCATCATGACTACACAATCACTGCTCGTTGCTACTGCCTGCCTTCATAGTTGGTATCATGAACTAAAGTAATTTCTAAATAAATTCAAAACACAGATGAGATCTGAGATGACAGTGGAAGCCTGGATTAACAAATCTCTGAAAAATACATGTAAATTTTACCTTTTAAGAAACAACAAAAGTTACTGTTATTTTATGCTTTCTTCTACAAGTAAATTCCTAGGCTGATTGCCTGAATTGCAGTGCTATTTCCCTTTCTTCCTACAACCCAGCTCCTTCATTAGGAAATTGTTCATAGTCCCCAGTAAAATCAAAGGAAACTCAGAAGTTACACATGTTTTCAGTCTTGTAGCAGTTATAATTCTCATGTACTTTATGTAAGTATATGGTTTATGTCAATTTTCTGGGAAATAATTTTAGACTTTATTTAGAGATCTAATGGAGTTTAGGTTTACATTTTCTCACAGGATGTGTTAATAGTTTGCATATGGAAGTATTTTTTTTTAATACTGCAGCAGTAGTAATTTGGTTTGGTATTTGGAAATAGCTTTTCCTTCAGCATACCATGCACCAGGTATCAGGTAGAACCCAAGTCTGCATATATTTGTGACCAAAACAAGTTGTTCAGCAGAACAAACTATAATAAGCGTTCAAAAGGGAAGTCTGCCTGTGCTATTTACTTGAACCCAGCTTTAAAAGACTTATACTGGCATGGACCTTTGTTTAAATAAACTTTCACTTTTGGTATTTATTTGTTTGAGTAATTATACTTTAATCTCTTTTGCTTAAAGCATGTTCACCTGTGTAAAAATACAAAGTTCATTACAAGCTTTAACTCTGATTTCCAGCTGCAAATGAAAATACTTACCCCCAGTAAACACTAACATTCAACTCTGACCAATATTCTTTATTAAAGCTGAAAGTATCTCAGCCAAATGCAACATAAAGTTCACAGTGTATTCACAGTGTATTTAGGCTTTACACTGTAAAGCCTAAAAGAATTGTTCAGTTAGAACTGTATTCCATCCTTTGTTTAAAAAATCTGTTTAATGGAGTGAACCAAACTAAAATCAGTTACACTGAAAAAGCCTTTTTCTTTTTGCGAGGTGGTTTCTTTATCTTACTGGGATTTGGGACAAGTTTCTTGATTTTCAAAGGCTGCAAAATTACATTTGAAAAATCAGGCCAGTTGCTTTCTGTATGCTTCCGCTTCTGATTTGTGAGCTTATCCCCCAGCACCTCTGTGAGCTGTTCGGGTTCCAGATTTTCTGAAGAATCTGAATCTACATAAGACATAGGTTCTTCAGCTGTGTACTGAAACCAGGGCACTTCCAAAGCTGGTATCTTTGGAATTATTGCTGCTATTGCTTCAGTGAATGTGTCAGACTGCTTTTTGAAGCCGAGTGCTAAAACGGACGTTAAGCCGAGAAGGGGCGCGATGGTCTCGCTGAGCCGTGGCACCTGCCCTGCCGGCGTGGTGCGGCTCGCGCTCAGCTCGATCAGGTGCGACGTGATCATGGCAGGTTTGGCAGACTTGCACACCAGCAAGAGAAGCAGCTCATTTTTTTCCAGTGCTTTTGTAACTTCATTAACTCCAATAGCAAGCTGTCTTCTGATACTTATATCAGTCCATCCTGGTTTTTGTTGGTGGTTTTCTGTTTCCTCTTTAGGGAGTTGATTGGTGCTAGCATCACACTTCCTTTCTGTTTGTTTTTTTGTAAGGGAACGTTTTTTCTTTCTTAGACTCTCAATCTTTTTAAGTCCAATATGTTTAATCCTTTCTTCTAAGGTCTCTAGTATAAAATGCATATCTTCTCCATCTATGGTTTTCCATTGGAAAACAAAGGGGTTATCTAGACATGTTTTTACTGTGTTTTTTTTTGCTTTCCGAAGTGTTGCTGTCCCTTGCTTAATTACAGACATCCTGAGGTGGTTCTGTGTCACCCTAAGGAAGAGAGAGAAAGACATTCGTTCAAATACTGTATTGTGTGCTGTGGACATTGTTACCAGAAGTTTCTTCTGAGAATGCAGAAGAGAAAGGTATGTCAGTGATACTGGCATCTCTCAACCTCCTACACTTGGCACCGATCCTTCACACATCTTCCACAGGGCAGGTGTGGAGCTGCATTTTTTAAAATTAATTTTAAAAGCTGGACAGAAGAGTTAAGGCAACAGCAGTGACAACAGACCCTTCTAAAGGTGAACAAAAGCAGCTGGAGATTTTACAGATGTAAAAAACCAGCCAAACCAAACAACAATCCATCCCCAGAATCACAGGTTGAAGGACACTCCATTTTCATTGTTGCACAG